GAGGATATTCCCAACACAGCCACGGTTGGAAGTTCAGCAGGGTTTTATCTTCGTCCTTTTAACTACTTTGATGAGGATCCATCGATGGGTTCAAGTAACGCCATCTTGATAACACCCACTGACAAGAACTACAGTCCTTCATTCCAACGTTTTGGTACCCCGACTGGTCCTGTCTGTGTTCCTAAGGAATATCCTGTTACCTTCGATGGTCGAAACAACGTTTAACAAAGAATGACTTGGTACATAATCACCTGATTATGCATCAAGCAATGTCAGTGATCTTTGTTTCAGTTGATCAGAGTTTGAATAAAGTACCCTTTAATAAAAGTTCAAATTGTCTTTGTTATGTCCAGCGCGCTTCATCATCCTCGGGAACCCAGGCAATGGACGAGCAACAGAATATCCCTGGGTTCCTAAGTATATTTCTTCATGTACAGCTAATTAGTCGGCTATCCGTAGGCATGCCCGACTTAAGTTCTACATTTTGTCGCGTTTTTTTTTTCGAGCTTTGGAACCAGAAGTATTTAAATCATCTTTTGGCCTGGCTGTATTATTACGTAACATGACCGGCAGCTCAAACGTAATAGATGTGCGAACATCGTTACTAATTGTTTACTGAAATACTTTCGATTTTATGTGAAAAAAAAAAAATCCAAATTCCAAATTTTATCGGAATGCATTTCCAATCATCAGAACCACGCRCATGTGCAGATCGCATACTAGTATGATTACGAAACTGAATCATCGACCGTTAAACATTGCATTAAAAAATTGTTAAGTTGACCAGATTCGACCAGATGAGATACGGCGTCAGAGTCTGTTGCTTATATGACCTTTCAGGTCAAATCCCTTCAAATCTCACGGAATTCGCATATTTTTGAATAAACTAGACGCTCTTAGAGCGTGAAGTCTGGCTAGCTGTTTTAAGACATTATATCACTCCTAGTTCGATATTTCTAGTGTTTTGAYGTCATAACGTCAAGCCGCCAGAAAAGAATATCGCGGTGCGTGAATAAACAATTCGAATTGAACTGCACATTAATAAATAAAAAAACTAGTGAAAGCTACRCCATAATTTACTTTGWTATATAATTATATGATAGTCAGAATATTTTACATGATAATCTTATCGTGTTTAAAATCTTTCACTCGTTCGCCCATACACGCAAAGAGCGTCTAGTTGAGGTGAAATCATCGAAGCTAAAACCGAATAACTGAGCCAAGGGCGGTAGCGTAGGCAATCTCACTTTCATGCTGTAKTTTAGTTGTCAAACATGTCAAATAAACGRACAAGTAAGAGCTCATCACAGATAACAGATCATATTACTCGATCTGCGATCGGTTCGCTAAAATACAGCATGAAAGTGAGATTGTCTACGCTTGATATGAGGCTTGGCGTAAAAACGAACCGATTAACGAAAAAGTCTTGCCGCGATCGACAACATAGTAAGCAAAGGAATAAAAGACAAGCCTCTGGAACCAGACTAAAACAAAATGAACATCCAAAGTGTATTATCTTGACTAAAACAAATTAAAGAAACYAGCAAAAATTAAATACACATGGCAAAAGACAAAGTAGGYCGGGTCGAGCTTTTGCCAGTACCAGGACTGTCACTTTGCCGGCCTTGCCTGAACAACAATGGCCTTTAATTACTTCATACATACGTCCATGCTTCCTCATCGGAGCTCACAAGGATCTTTCATGGATTTAATGATCGGGCTCCATCACGGGATTATCTAATGTTGCTTTTTTAACCCTGTCCGACTAAGACTCATTGGTCAACCAACGAGCTTCCCTGCAGATATAATTGGACCTTCCGGTCAGTGACTGAAAGTTTCGATTTCATTTCTTGACCTGGTTAAGGATTTTGTGATATCCAAGATGGCAGCAATATCATTTTTATGGAAGTGGGTCGCGATGCTTTTCATTCTACTCAGCCTTGGTTTGCTCATTGCACTTATCGTTGTTGCAACTAAAGACGGAAGCTAGTAGTCAGGAAATCACAAAAACATCCCAATTTCACGCCTACAAAGCGGATGATTCGCAGGCAAGCAGGACTAAGATATCTTCTTCACCTGGTCTCTTTGACGATTTGACACCAGACGAGATGAACAAAGTCTACAATTACATGCACTCTATCAAGTCGTTTAAATTAAAATCAAGCAAAGAAGAAGGTCAACTCAGCGACAATGTCATCGCTCTTATCAAGTTCTACCCGCCGTCTAAAGATGCAGCATTGGCTTATTTGGATGAAGGCAAAGAAAAGCCAGAGAGACAGGTTATTGTTGTGGTATTCAAAGGAGCGGCTCAGCCCCCGATAGTCGAGGAATACCTTGTTGGCCCAGTATCTGCACCGAATAAACACGAGCTGTTGAAAGTAGACGGTCGATCGTACCCTATCAACTTCAACGTAAGGCCAGGATTTGCACCGAGAGAAGAAATTGCTATTTACAATRACATCCTTTTACCAATGGGTATAAAACTCCATCGTCTCTTGTATGAGAGTTATGACGGGTACACTATTGCCAATTGCACTGATAAGTGCTTGAATTGTCTTTTCTCGGCTCCCTTTGGATTCACTAGCGATACAAGAGAAAACTGGTATTTTCTATTTCGTAACGAAATAGCTGTATATTCGCACCCTTTGAACTTTGAATTTTACTTGAATCATGCTGGTAGCAACTCRTCARAATGGCGCATAGAAAAGTTGTTGTACAACGGRCAGCTTTTCAACTCTACKGAAGAMCTAATGRATGCMTATGACAAGGGAAAACTCGTCAAGACATTTATTCCAGCTCCTAAGGGAAAGGACAAARTTTTCTCMACTTACGAAAAACGCGGAAAGSARCAGCCTTCCAAACCCAGTCGARGTCCTGAACAGTACGAGCCCGATGGAAAACGCTACTCTGTGAAAGGTAGACATATCGAGTACATGAAYTGGGCTTTTGACTTCCGRGTTGATTCCATAAGTGGACCGCAAATATATGATGTAAGATTTGGAGGAGAGAGGATTGCGTACGAGATCAGTCTACAGGAGGCTGTAGCGACTTACGCTGGATATTATCCCACACAGATGAATATTAACTATGTTGATGGCACGTATACAATGGGCGTACGATCGCATGACCTGTTACAAGGTAAACATAATCAGGGAGGGCTGAAAATGCATTGACTCCCCTCTCCTCCCCCCTCCCTGTCGATCAATAGTCGATTTACGACTCATTCAAACCCATAAGAATCAAGACAAGCTGTCAAAGCTATTGTCTTTCCACGAATGACTGAGCTCTGATTCCTTTCTGCTTATCAGGCCATCGTCCTGCGAACTATTGCCTCACTTGCTAACTACGACTACATACACGACTTCATATTCTACCAGAACGGTGTGAAAGAAGTGAAAGTATCAGCATCTGGTTACACCTTTGGTASTTTCTACGATGAGAATRTAAAACCATACGGTTATCCCATCCACMATAACTTAACAAGCACTACACACGATCACTTACTCAACTACAAAGTTGACTTAGATGTTGGTGGAAGACAAAATTCCTACGAGACTATCGAAGTCACAACAGARAACGTAACTGACAAATGGCTACCGGAGAAAMACAGATACTTTGTCAGGAAAGTCTTGAAACGTACCACCAAAAAGACCGAGCAAGAGGCAGCATACAAATTCAACTTTGACCGTCCAAAGTACTTGAACTTCTACAATGAAAAAAAGAAAAACAAAATGGGTGTATCAAAAGGATACAGAATCCAGCTGAATGGTATCATGAAGCAGTTGTATCCAGAAGACTGGATAATGGTACCGATGATAAGTTGGTCTCTGTATCAGTTGGCTGTTACCAGGTACACTTTTACGATTAAGTGGTAATATAAGTGAGTGGTATTGTGGGAAGGGAGTGAAGAGAAACGTTAAAGAAAGTTTACAAGGCTTAAATTGAATGCTTTTTTTAAAAAGGTACAAAGACAGCGAAAGACAAAGCTCCTCATGGTACAACCAAAACTCTCCGAGCGATCCTCACGTTGATTTCAGAACATTTCTAGCAGACAACGAATCTATTGTCAATCAAGATCTTGTTGCTTGGGTAACCACTGGAATGATGCACATCCCTCATTC